CTGTTGAGGTCAGGAAAGCGATTCCGCTCCCTGAAGACCAACACAGAGAGACTGAGGAGGAGCTTCTTCCTGCAGGCGCTACGGTCTCTCAATCACACCACCACACAGTACTGACCCACACATATGGTTCTTACACACACACTGGACTTTCTGGACTTTGTTTTTGCACAACACTGGTCACTATATTCTTCATTTCCGGTTAATACTTGTACAGCTGCTGTTATTGTGTATATATTTATTTATATTTAGATTTCTTCATACATTCTTATATAGTTCTATATTGTGTATTTTGTTGTACAGTTATTTTATTTTCAACTTTAATTTATATATTTTATCTTATTCTTCCCAGTTAAATTTACCCTTCATTCTAATTTGTGTTGTACAGTTATTTCATTTTTAACCTTAATTTATATCTTATTCCTTCCTAGTTAAATTTACCCTTTTTAATTTTTCATATTTATTTCCTATCTTATTCATAGCCTTTTCCTTTTTTGTTCTCTTTAGGTCACGAGCAGTTGTCCAAGCATTTCACTACATATCGTACTGTGTATGACTGTGTACGTGACAAATAAAATTTGAATTTGAAATTGAATTTGATTTACTATTGCAAATTACAGGCCTATTTCCTACTTTACCCCCAAAATTCTTGAAAAGGTGGTTTACAAGCAATAAATGTCCTTTATAGAAGAACACGATACTTTAGAAGTTTTCCGGGTTTTAAAGCTTTACATAGTACCTAATCTGCCGTTTTAAGAGTTTTTAATAATGTGTTTTTACCAACTGACTCAGGTGTGTTATTATCGTGCTGTTAGATTTAACTGCTGTCTTTGATACAGCGGATCATAACATTTTAATTTCCCGTTTAGAGCAGTTGGTGGGTGTTAGCAGTGCCGCTCTGCAGCGGTTCAGATCCTGTTTGGCAGAGCGGATTTCTCTGTGAAACTCGGGGAGTTTGCATCCTCTGCTGCTTCTCTGCACTGTGGGGTCCCACAGGGTTCGGTTTTAGGCCCGCTTCTTTACTCCCTACATCTTCAACACCTTGGCTCTATTTTCAGGAAACATGGGATTTCTTTCCACTGTTGTTTCCCACTTATAAAGATAAATGGCTTCTCAGTAGACCCTCTGCGTAGATGCCTTGATGAAATAAGGGCCTGGATGGCTTTGAACTTTTTACATTTTAATGAGCAGAAAACAGAAGTGATGGTTCTTGGTGGCTCTTCTGAGGCCACTACTATAGATCTTGGTTCGCTGGCACAGTATGTTGAACCAGTCATCACTGATCTGGGAGTTAAAATGGAGGCAGATCTTAAACTTGAAAGCCAGGTCTGTTGTAAGATCTCGCTTTTTTCATTTGAGGCAATTAGTCAAAATAAAGCCTATCTTATCGAAACAGCATTTTGAGACAGTAATCCATGCCTTTGTTACATCTAGGCTGGATTATTGTAACGCGCTTTATTGTGGGGTTAGTGATGCGTCCATTAGGCGTCTGCAGGTTGTGCAAAATGCTGCAGCTCGTCTTTTAAGTGGAACAAAACAGTCTGAGCACATTACCCCATTTTTAATTTCACTCCTGTACATTTTAGGATTGTTTTTAAAATTCTCTTGTTTTTAATTCCCTTAATGGCTGACGCTTCACCTCAGCAGACAGTCTGGCTTAGCACCTGCTCCTGTGTGGAAGGGGGTTGGAGGATGCAAGTGAAGGAGGAGGGGGTTGCAACGGTGGCCTTTTGTAAAGTGATGGGGGAAGGAGCGTCTGTGTGAATGCGAGAACAGATCTGATTGTAAAGAGCGCCGATGTGAGGAGCAGTGTGGTGAACAGACCAGCGCTCAGACAAAAGCACATGAGTTGGCTTAGATATGGCAATTATAACCACGGTGCTGTATCTATGGGGGCGTGTCTCGCAGCTTACTTGGTACGCTCTTCCTTTGTGCCGACTCAGGCGGCATGTTTGTCCTTTCACTGAAATACATTTTAAAGACATGTTTCATTTTAAGAACTTTCAGAAGAAGCACAAAGAGCTGACTGTAAACCGGCACCACCAATAAATCTGAACTAAAATGAAGTGAAATGGCCTTTAATGACTTATAGGACATGGCAGGGCTGTGGTCTCTGGCTCCGCTACAGTGAGCCAGGTGGAGGGAATTAGGCTGACCAACTCTCTCCGGCGAAGGGAGGCGTGTGAGAGCACAGCTGCAAGCTGCCCTGGGAAACACGAGGTGCCGAACAGGAAGCTCGGTGGTCGAGGTGGCGAGGAGGAGGCATCGTGTGTGTGCAAAATCTGTACAATAAAGACAATTTAACTGTGAACGCTGTGTGGGTCTGTGGTGTTCACAGAACAATCATCAAGAAATACAATAATATTCCACATTTAAGCTTAAAATGTCCCGTGTGTAAAAACACATACACTATCACTGCATACCAAAAACATCAGATTCCTTTGAAAGCATTGTTCATGTAGCTCGTTCCTAGCACTTTCCTTTATACAGAGAGATATTTGAAGGATTTTGGAAAAGTTAAAGCTTTCCTCCACATGTAAAATACATTTTTACCTGATCTAGTCTGACTGATGCTGACTGATAACTGCTGCTGTCTGTTTGCTGTAGTGGTGTGCGGATCGACACTGAAATATCGATTCTTCTGATACCAGTAATTTATGTTCTAGAATCCATCCATCCATTCGCTTCCGCTTATCCTTTTCAGGGTCGCGGGGGGCGCTGGAGCCTATCCCAGCTGTCATAGGGCGAGAGGCGGGGTACACCCTGGACAGGTCGCCAGTCTGTCGCAGGGCTAACACATAGGGACAGACAACCATTCGCACTCACATTCACAGCTAGTGGCAATTTGGATTATCCAATTAACCTATCCCCACAAGCTGCATGTCTTTGGACGGTGGGAGGAAGCCGGAGTACCCGGAGGGAACCCACGCAAACACGGGGAGAACATGCAAACTCCACACAGAAAGACGCCGGCCTGATGGTGGAATTGAACTCAGGACCTTCTTGCTGTGCGGCAACAGTGCTAACCACCGTGCCACCGTGCTGTTCTAGAATCGATTCTCATATTAAAATATCGATGTGTTAGTACTCTGGAGTAAATTTGTAGTTTTTCATTAACAGGAACACAGTGGAAAGAAACTATATCATTCGGATTGTCTAAATTGGAAGGAACTACTTCCTCTTCCGCCTTTCATAGTCATGTGTGAAACAGGGCTGTATAACTGTGTCACAGCCCCTGGTGTGCGCACTCGCAACAATGGCTGAGTGTAATTGGAGTCATGTGGGGACGTATTTTACCTCCACAAACAGCCAAGACGTGGTTTGCGATACATGTGGCAAGAAAGTGAGATGTTGTGGTAACACCGCTGACCTCGTCAAACACCTCAGAGTAAATCATATCACAGAATATGACGAGCGTATGTTGAGGCGAACTGAAGAGGAGGACAGGGACAGGTGGAGGACAGGGACAGGTGCTGCTAGGGCGAGACAGACGTCTCTCACGGAGTCCTTTAGTGCAGCAGGCAGGCTACGTGTTCAAATAGCACAACTTCAGGTTTTTATTTCTATATGATAATTCTGCATCATTAAGCAATGAGAACAAGTAGTCTGATGTCCTGTAATCATTATGAAGCTATATTATTATTACAATTAAATAATGCAATTCTATGTTGTATTATGAAACACAATGAAACATTACGTTTTTGTACAGAGTATCCAGGGTGGTATCGGGTCAGTATCGTCGATACCACCCTGGATTTTACTTGGTATCGGATCAGAAAGGGAATCAGTGGAATCGCACATCACTAGTTTGTAGCTGCCGTACAAACATGCGTGTCAGAGGTCTCTGGTTCCTGGCGTCGTGCAGCGCACCAATAATTCTGCTTTGTGGAGAAAGTGTGAATAAGCATGTTTGCGCTCTTCCTCAGAGGATCTAAAAGCTCATCCACGAGCTCCTCTGGCTGCTCGGATCACAGGATCTTGTTTCACATGAGATCGTGTGATTGTTGGCCTGTTACGGCCTGTTATATAACAGCGAGTGTCCAGATACCTGTGAGATCTTTCTGCTTGCCACACGAGCTGTCCGATGCAGGCTGCTTTCAAATTTCATCAGAAAGAGAAAATCAACCTTGTACATCATTTCAGCTCATTTCTAGCTGCTGCTGTTTCCAGTGGCTCACTGATGATGGATGCACTGATTTCATGGCGGGGACCCTTGGTTACTGATGGTGGAGCTCTGCCAGGAGCAGCAGCTTCCTGAGCTCTGATTGGTGAACGCTGCTGTCTGCTCTGCTAGCATTGGCTACTTCTACATATACACTGGTCTCATTACATTCAAAACTCCACCCTTCTGTAGAAGGAAGGGGGTGGCAGAGGGTGTAAAGTGGGCCGTGTTGTTCCTCATTGTTGTCTTACAGGCTGGCTTTCTCTTTAGCTACTTTGTTGTTTCTAAGCTGCAGTGGTATTGTTTCTGCATTTACTTGGATGTAGCTCAGGAGGTCGAGCAGGACATCTACAAGCCTGCATGCCAGATATCCTTAGCAGCATACTCATACCAAGTTGCTCTCTGAAGCAGGATATAGAACAGAATGCCTTTTACTGTCACCATACACACAGTGAGATACAGAGCAGCACCCACTCAGCGCAGACATATGAACAGTATTTTAAGTGTACAAATATACAAATCAGGAGAAATAAATAAATAGTGTTATATGTTTACCGTGTGGTTTACTGCACAGTGCTCATATGAATGTGTGAGTGTTGTATAAAGTGCCATATAAGTATGCCCAGAGAATGCAGCAGGTCCTAGAACTGACTGCATATATTAAGGCTGTTGAGTACTGCTGTATGTGGACAGGGTAGGGTCTGCCTTATGATGAGGCGGCTGTTGTTGTGATCGGGCGCTGACATGACAACGAAGCGGTCCTTACATGCACCTCTAGCCTGCACGTACCGCTGTCTGTCAGACAACGCTCAGGGCAAAGTGCCATCTGGCGCCTGGTACCCAAACACTTTGTTAAAGCCGCTTGATAACGCTGATGAATGAGCGCGCTCTCTAACTGATGCCTGTGAGGACGAGTGCACGCTGACACCGCTTTCAAACAGGACCTGTTCTTTTCGGATGCTCTGAGGTGAGCGGGTGAGTGATCCTCGGCATCACACGAGCTGCTCACGCACACATCCAGCGCCATTTGCAGACAGGTACACCTACCGCCCCTTTTATTGTCCCACGCTCAGCGCCGGGCTGTAGTGTTGACTGAGTCACGGCAGCAAAATGCAGGAAAACGGGTCAGAAAAACAGCGTTAGTGGAGTTTGGATGATTTCTGCATGGTAGAAGGTCGTGTCTGATGATACGGCGATGATGTAACAGCATGAGCGGATGCACTACTTCTTTATCCGTGACCACCGCAATCCGCGCATTCGTGTTACACAACCAGCGCACCAGGAGATGCTTCCGTTTCGTGCTTTCATACATTATGAGCATGAACAGCACCGCGCTCTGGTACCCAGGCCTGCAGCGCTCACAGCAGAGCGCATCATCATCATCATCATCATCATCATGAGGACTGGACTCTTTGATTATTGTCCGGTGAGACGGAGAAAAGTTCTTCACTTCAGTTCAAGCGCAGCAGAAGAAAGCAACGAGGTGTGGATGCTCTCGGTGGTTTTATAGCGCTGCTGTCTGCTACATGCTGCCACGTTCATTGTTGTCACAGCACATCAGACACATCTCACTGCTACTTCATATTCATTCAGTGTTCCAAGTCAGACACTAAAACAAGGCAAAGAACACGATACACGTCTGCAGACTGTTTCTCAAGGTTGTGGTGATTTTATAGTATCTCTCTGCAGTTTTGGTGCGTTATTAGGCCTTCAAAAATTTCACTGTCAAGGAAGCAAAGTGTGACTGTTGAACCTGTTCAACTGCTCATTATCACAAATATCTAACTCAGCTGTTCAATGCGGAGACACGTCAAAGTTCAAACAGCGTCAGTATCGTGGTGCCAGCAGTAACTCAAATAACACTCATAATAACCACAAAGCTTCAAACCGTGACAGCAGCAGAGGCACAAGGTGCTGATCTGAGACCAGCGAGCGAGCTCACAAAGCTGGACGAGCACAGGAACATATTTCATTCTGTGACCAGCAGTGTTGGTCAAGTTACTTGAAAAAAGTAATTAGTTACTAATTACTGATTACATCTCCAAAAAGTAATCCTGTTACATTACTGATTAAGTAATTAGTTACTTAGTTGTTTTTCAAAAACATGAGTTACAACCTGAATATGTAATAAAGCAACAGTGTTAGCTTTCAGCCGTGTTCGACTGTTTCTGCATAATCCATCATATGAAACTGAATCCAATGAAAAAGTATTTTTTAAACTTGTTTTATTAGTTTTCATCTTTTTAACTTTATGCATCAAGCAAATATTAAATTATTTGCAACATTCTCTGACTGGAAGAAACGTGTTTAACATGGAAACCTATCGTCTGCATGTTCCAGCAGATAAAATCATGTTTTGTGTTTACACTCTTTCAAATAGATGCGAGTAAAACACAGCAGAAAATAAATAGAATCAAAGACTCAGCAGCTCTTAAATCTATTGCCACCTGTTTATCAGGAGTGGGGCGGGTGGAGGTTTGCCCACAGCGGTCATGTCAGTGGGGGGTCCGGGGGTTTCTCTGTGAATGTCACGTTGCCGTGGCGGCGCGCTCGCTGCTCGCTCAGATTTGAAGTTTCATTTTTTCGCTGCAGAAAGAAGTTTCCTTCCCACACAGAGTGAACAGCAGACGCTGATGTTTGTGTCACTTTTAACAGATTCAAACTCACAGTAATCTGATTACTTCCGCAACGCTGCACGGTCGTACTCTCTCCATCACTCCATGTTATCCACGTCTGTTGCTGCCACGGACGTCACACGCTCGTACGTCATTGTCACGAGACACTCTCACAAACAAAATCACAGTTTAGTAACGCTGTACCGCAGCGTGCTTACGGGAATGTAACTGTAATGTAACTACTTTTTCTGCAATAGTAATCCCTTACTTTACCCGTTACTTGAAAAAAGTAATCTGGTTACAGTAACGTGCTACTCATGACAAACACATCGAATGTGTCCACCTAACCGTAGGGAGGTTCTTCTTCTGACCTGCTCACTTTCAAACTCCTTGCTCTGCACCTCGAGCACTTGAGATCTTGTCTCTCCAGGATTTTTGTTTATTTATTCGTTAATGAAAGTTTTGCTACATTTCATCATCGTTTCTTTTCCTTCGATTATTAGTGTTTATTTAGTTATTGTCTTGCTTTCATCAGAAAGAAAGGTCATTGATAAAAACGATTGTTAACTGAACGATGGTCTCTACCTGCCCAGCCCTCAGATGCTCAGAGCTGTGTGTTGTTTCTATGCTGACTGCCTCCATCGTTGTCACTGATGCCTGCTGATTCGGTGTGACCTCATACTGCCCTCTCTTCACACAGATGCTGTGCATGGATTCTCGTGTTTTTGTGTTTCAGAACTTGTTTTTCCTTCGCTGGATAACGATGAATCCTTGCCACAGATTCATCTGGGTCAGGTCGAATTCCATGTTTTTTTCTCTCCCCAAACACGGTGGCACTGTGTAGATCATGAGTGTGTGAGGAGGGAGGCTCATGCAGTAGTTACTGATTAACATCAGCATCCTCTGTGCTCCACATCTGCACACTGCAGCCTTTAATCCCACCCAGATTATTTTAAAGCCGCTTTTAGCGCTTAAGCTCAATTTTAGCGCTCTGACACAGGCTACCGTGCAGTCAGAAATACAGATACACTTAAGTACGTTTTACTCTTTGCTGATGTTTCCGGTGAACCAGGCCTTCCTTTCAGCCTAAACCTTAGCACCTCTTTTAAACTGCTTGGTCTGTCTTGTCATATCACTTCATGTCACTGACCTAATTTGAACCTAGAAATCCACCTAATGATATGGATGTGTCACTGTGATTGTTGGTACTGGGCCACTATGTGCCCAAACACAGGCCTCATGCCTTAAAATCTGTGTCTATATCTGTACTTTCAGACAAAATCAAAGACACCATTATATAGTTTGACTGTGCACTATATAAAGCATTTCTACCACTTCTTGGCTCTGATCTCACTATACTCTGACTTATTTAACCCCTCCTCCACTTGCCCTTCGAACCGCCGTGGTGGCCAGCGTCGAAAATGCCATCGGTCGGTGAAGAGGGACCTTCGAGGAACGTTGAATCCAAGATTGAACATGGCAGCTAGTCGATGAACGACGAAGAGCGAAAATCGCCCGGGATCAGACGGCATGAAATAAACAACAGCAAGCCGCAGAGGAGTGGTACCGACGCCCCGATTGGCAGGTGAAGCGAAGCTGTCGAAGGGATAAACGCAAATGGGTCGAGCGGAAAGCTGCTGATCGGAACGATACGAGAACGCTATTCCAGATCGTGCGCGATCTTACCGTCACCTTGACAGCAGACCTCTCCTCACGCAGAAAGACCACGATAAGCGCTGGGTAGCGCACTTCAAAGATCTCCTGAATCAACCTGCCCCAGATATGCCTTTGTTGGATGATGACTTAGCCAAAAATGATGAACTCGTTGTGGACACTGGTGCCTTCACTTCTGACGAGACCAAGGCGGTGATCAAGTCTCTCAAGGGTGGAAAGACAGCCGGCGCTCTACAGCACAGCGACTGCGGGCTGTGACGAGCATTAGACATGGAGCCCGAGCAGGTTATTGTGACATAATGTCAGTAATACTGTGTCTGTCTTTCCACACCTCAAACAGAGAAGACAGAGAAGTGTCTTATAACCATTATAATGGTGCCAACTGGTGCTAACTGGGCCTTCTGAAAATTGTAAATGTAAAAAGTAAGTGTGCTTTAAAACACATGTCGATTATATTTCAGCAGCAGTCACTTTTATATCGTTGCTCTTTTAGAAAGCCAAATATGTCTCATGTCACAAATGTATCTCTTTGTTATCCTTGTAACTTTCATTTATACGGATTCAGTATTATTCTAGTTAGTTGATGGTGTTCGGCGTTTTATGCTTGAAGCATAAACTGTACATAAAAGATGGCCACCGTGATGTCACCCATTGTTTAGCGAGGTGTGTGTTGCCACGTGTGAGCAGCATGTTCCTGAGAAACTCTGGGCCAGTGCTTCCCGGTTAAAGGGTCACCTTACAACGCATCATCTTTTTTCATTTATATTCTTTTTGTTTTTAGACCATATTTTTCTAAATGAACATCATTTTATGTTCAATATTCTAAATCGTGGAGTCTTTTTTTCCAGGCCTACACCGTATTCATTTGTCCCGTACTTGACTAACTCGCCTTTAAACTGAGCTGAGTTGCCTAATTTCGGTTAATAACTCTTTGGGAATCACCTTGTTATGTTTTGTTTGTCAAACTGGGTTATCTTTGGCATTTTTCATAGAACCACAGAAATGAGAAAAGGTCTGTGCGGTTTTTTTGCTGCTGGTAACATAGAGCCTAAAGATACAGTTTAAGATGTGTTGTTTGCTGAGTTATGTGTTAGACACATCACAGGTTCATCCTTTGAGTTCGGTGTGTTTTTTATGTTTGACTGATTCATAGGTCAACAAAACAAAACACTATTGTCCTGGCGACGGTGATATGTTCAGGGACTGGAGTGAAAATGAGTTAAAAATGTAGCCAATGTCCAAAGAAACACCGAAAGGCTTTCATTAAGAACAACGGCTCAACTCTGCTGAAACCTCTTCCTTACTTCCTGATGTGCTCAGTGTGTTTGGCAACATCATTTCACACACAGCAGCACAAATTAAATCTGCATACTTTTTCTTTATCGCACCAAACCGACCATGTGAACTGTAAAATACAGCGTTTAGCTCTCATCACGGTCGTCAGTGTACCTGGAGCTGTGGCACTCTGTCCTGTCAGCACTCGTGCAGCTACGCCCGTGTCCACTCAGCACTGTGGGCTGCCAGCAGCTTCTGGAACTTCATGTGCTAGTCGTGTTGGCTCTCCACCTTTAATCTATGAGCATACCTTAAAATAGTATCAGAGACCGTAAGCGTATCCAAACACTGAGGCTGTATAGCAACTGGAGATTCAGTGCATTCAAAAATGTGTTTTTGTCTTTTTGCAAT